GCCTCGTACGTTATAGTTTGATTAAATTTGTTTTTCGCATAAGTTTTGGTCTCAATGGAAATTTGCGGCTGTGTAATTGTGGACCGGTGATCGCATTTCATATATCACGTGAACGATAATTTGATTGTATAAGCTTTTGCTAATGTTTTGTTCTCTTTTTGCTGATGCAATGATGACTGGTGTGCTCTCGCATATCTCTTTGTTACCGGATATGACCTCGACCGGGTTTATCTATTGTTCGGTTGGTGCGATGAGCCACGCTTTTGTTTACGCGAGTATGGTGTATTCGTAAAAGAAATCATGACGTGTATGAGCTTGGTCTTTGGCTGATCGCAGTGAATGACTGGAAAATGATACGAGCAAAACAAATGACATAAGGATCAAATGTAAAGGTTGATTTCTTACAACCTCTGTATTTTTTCGTACAACAAATGTAATGGCAGGTCTAACGCTAGTTTTTCCAGATGAAAGCTTCATGAGATGATTTTCAAGCCACATTGAATTTGGGAGAACAAAGTTTGATCGATAGTCTATCTAACAATTAAATTACAAAATTATTTAAAAATGCTTCCGATAACCACAAAACAGAATCTGTGCATGCGGCAAAACATTGCAAATTCTGCGTACTTTGTATGCAAATCTGTAATAGAATCTTACATTTCCCGGTTGGGTGTATGGAAGAAAATTTAATCATATCTAATTATTGTGCGGCTAGAATCGGCTGGAGTGGAATATGCGTGAAATGGTGATCGTTTTTGTCGGTTTGTCGGTAGTAATCGTGTGGGACCGGGATCCATGCACGTGGAGAATTATCTGCCTGCATTTAATTTTGTATAGTGTGAACGAGTTCCGGGTCGTTTTATGCCATTTCTGAATCAAGTGCATACAAAGGTGGTGCAATTTAAATTAATAATGTATGAATCCGCACCATTGGACATTAACCATATATAGATTTAGTGAGTTTGTTTCAGTTGAAAAACACTCTTGTAAATGTATTAACATTAATTTTGATTCCTGTTAGTTAACCGGCGGGATAACCTCGACTGCGCGTGATCTATTGTTCAGTTGTTGCGGTTAGGTAAAGTACGATAGGTTGTCCGGGATTCCGGAAAGCAGGGTTCTATGAATAATAGTTCCATTTTTTTTTTCTATTTGAGTCATTTCTATATGAAATGAAGGTAAAGCTGGTGCAATTTTATTTTATTATGTTTTACCCCGCATCATTAGACTAATAAGACGCAATTCAAAACACATTAAATGTAATACATATCATTATTGACCTCCCTCGGTAAAGACGCTATGAAGCAAGACCATGCTGGAGGCGCCTGGGTTCGGATGCCAATCCGATCTAGGAATGTTTTAGGGTTGACAAATTTCTCGATTTCCCTGGGCATAGAGTTTGATTGTACTTGGCACATAAATAGTTACAAACCGCTCATAAGCTTCAAATTCTTCATTTGTATCTGCTGCTAACAATGTTCAGCAAGTAAATGGAGCTACTGCAGCTGATGGAAATCGAAATCAAAATTCTAGCCTGAAAATTCTAACGGATTTTTTTTTATGATTTTGTCATAGGTAGCAATACCATGTAAGAAGGTCCTAAAGAAACGTGCTCAACCTTTTGGCTCAGCTCTGGTACTATCTTCGGTCGCAAGCTAATCGATGCACCCCTCGAAACATAGGAAGATCCACAAACCCCTCATTTTATCTGTCAAACTTTCATAGCGGATCAAAACAAACATAGTGTGGTACTAAAATTTCGACTAGAATGGGGTACGTCAATCGATTTGCTTGGGACCAATAGGCTATTCAAATAGTGAGCCAATTTAAAATCGTTAGTTTCCACCGGTTGGCATTACTGCCCCCAAAATGGAATTTTTACAGAATTCATCAATCGACATGATTACTGATATGTTGAAAGTTAACTCCATGTTTGATGCTATTCAAACTGGTGTTAAATTTTCTAATAACATAATCATGACTATGGAATTCAGTATTCGATTTAAAATCATTAAATATTTTGAATTGGAATGCTCGATCCCTTATTCATCTCATATCGCCGTTATAACTGAAACGTTCCTTAAACCTGATCATAAGGTTAAAAGGGATGCAAATTATTTCATTTACCGAAATGATCGTCTTGATGGTGGCGTTGCCATCATTGATCATTGACGTATCAAACACCAAATTCTTTTTTCATTTGAATCCCAACTTTTTGAAACTGTGGGAGCTTCTGTCGGAACAAAATTTGGACAACTTACGTTAATAGCTGCCTATTTGCCATTCCAATGCTTAGGACAGCAAAAGAATTTTCTCAAGGATTACCTTCAGAAACTTACCCGTCATAGGTCTAAATACTTCATTATTGGTGATTTTAATGCAAAACACCGCTCATGGAATAATGCTCAAAGCAATTCCAACAGCAATATATTATTTGATGATTGTTCTGCAGGTTATTACACTATTCAATATCCAAACATCCCAACATGCTTTTCTTCAGCAAGAAATCCCTCAACTATTGATTTGGTCTTAACTGATTCATGTCAACTTTGAGCCAACTGCTGAGTTCGATTCTGATCACCTTCCAGTAACTTTTTAAATATCCCAAGAAATAATGTCTAATCCCAACAGCCTTACTTGCAATTACCATAGAGCTGATTGGGAGCAACATAGAACATTTATGGAATATAACTTCTTTGCAAACCAAAGATGAAATTGATAATGCTCTTGAATCTCTGACTACTTCTATAGTTGAAGCAAGTGCTGCCTCAGTACCAAAATACGAGGTTAAACTCGATTCAATTATAACAGACGACGATCTTCAGGTCTTGATCTGTCTAAAAAATGTCCGTAGGAGGGAATATCAAAGAATACGCGGTACTGACATGAAATTCATCTGGTGTGTTTTGCAAAAAAAAATATACTAAAAGGCGTTTCTCTGCCCAATGAAAATAAATAAATAAATAGATAAAACGCTCAAAAACTTGCTTAGCAATTCGAGAGTTCCCATATGTTCAGTTTGGGTCTTACAAGACCTATTGAAAATCAGGTTACTCGGGATTATTTGAATATTTTATCTTGGGAAAATATGTTTGATAATTCCTGGGGGATTGAATTGCAAGATCTTTAACTAAACAGTTTCAAAATACGAAAACTCCAGGTGATGATGGAAATTTTTATATCCTCCCAAAAAAACTCCCTTGTCTTTCTTGGTAAAATTATTTAACAGATGTTTCCATTTGGCATACTTTCCAGATAAATCGAAAAATGCAAAAGTTGTTCCAATTTTGAAGCAGGATAAAAATCCAGCTGAAGCTTCTAGCTACCGTCCAATAAGTTTGCTTTCTTCAACAAGTAACCTTTTTTAAAATATAATTTTGAATAGAATGATGCTTCAATTTTTGCAGATGAGCAGTTTGGATGTGAAATACCATGGGCATTCAACATTCGTTCAAATAAATCTGAAGGCGTAACGTGGGTAGATCACCTTTTTGTGGTACGTTACGGGATGTAAGATCTACCACAGATTCCTAGTCCTGGCTACTTCAAACTAGAGGAACTGGATTTTTCAGTAATCCAAGGAACACATCTTAGTCCTTGTTACTTTTTATGCCTTGTTGATAGTGACAAGACTCGGCTTTGTCTACCGAGGATGATCTTGAAACAAGGAAAAAAATGAGTTAGTTGTCTTATCTATGTGATTCCTAATCTTCTATTCGTTGTTCCCTAGTTTGAAGTGGTTAAAACTAGAGTTCGATGCATGGTCATTATCGGTGTCATACCTTAATTTTGTTGCTAAGGAATCCAATTTTGACTGACAAAGGGGCGCGCCTTTGGAGGGTGTTTCAACGCTCCGAAGGGTATAAATAGCGGGACCTTTCAATTAGAGTCGGATCCTTGCGATAAATGCAAGAGTGGCAACTGTAAAAAAAAATCGAATACTTCATCATTTCTCAATAGTGATGGAGTAATACGACATGCACTAAACTAAGGACACGGGATATACTACAATAGATCAATTTTCTGGTCGCAGTAGTGTTTGGTCCCGAACAGAGGAAAAAAAATCTGAAGGCTGCTCATCTGGAGTTGCTCTTCTAGACATAGAAAAAGCATTCGAGAGTGTTTGGCGTAAAGGATTGATTGCTAAATTAATAAAGTTGTTTTCCACACATCTTATGAAATTAGATCAAAATTATTTAACTGACAGAACTCTGCAGGTAAAATATCAATATTCCAAATCTGAACGACTACCTAGAGCAGGAGTTCCTCAGGGGAACATTCTTCTGCGATTGATTTATTTTCGAACGCAAATAAGGTCACACTCATGTATCTATGCATTGAGTTAACTTCCACTTTCAAAATATTGCATATTTATGTCATTTTAGATCAGGTAAACAACTTCCTCAACCATCTTTCAAAGCAAATAAAACGTTTAAAAAGATTAATTCACCAAGACACGATGTACATTCGACCACAGTTGACGGCGACCCTTTAAACCGCAACACGCTTTCAATTGAAGAAGAAACCCAAAACCAGTTTAATTTCTCTTCTCCTATGCAAATTGACGAAAGAGTGCGATGTGTCAGCCCACGCCTAAGATTAGTTGCAAAAACTGCATAGTCTTTACTATAAGTTTGAGACAGCTCCGTCAGAGATTGTTGCGTTGAATTACGACCGAAGCCAAGAACTGTCGTACCTTTTGACTATTTAGATATGTTTATTGCTAATTCATTGTGATTTGATCATTCGTGACGCTATTTATTTCTATTACACTGAATCTACGAGGGAATCCCCCTCAACCTGTTTGAACCATCTTTCTTCAACTTTAACGACCCATCACATGTTTCATGTGACCACATCTACAATGGGTTACAATGTTACAATTCATTTGGTCTTATTGGAATCATTACTTCCTAACAGCTCTAGTTGTTGGTCTCGTCAGTCGTTTTTCTAGTTTTAGATATTCCTGTATGATCAAAACACTGCGCATATATAGGTACCTTCACTATCGCTGAATGTTTCTCGATCTCGCCACTCCACACACAAAAAAAATCACCTTTCCAGTTTCGCGCTTCCACCTCTATTCACGTTTAAGCAACGAACCATACAAGACACATGACATAACCAAATATTACCTGCTTCACAGAGTACAGCGCACTACTCAGGCAATCGGACAAATTATGTTGATCGCGGTTCACTAGAATAATCACTTGCCACTGAAGTTCAGCACAAGATGCATTTCATAGATCACTTCACTATCGCAACCTTGTTCAGTAGCTCCAGAATCGATTGATGCCACTATCAGAACTGTGTCGGTACCTCCACCATTATCACTATAGTTTCCTTGATGTCATTCTATGTTTTCATCAAGCAGACAAACAGATGCTTCCAAGCAACAGATAAGTACTGGTTCAGATCTACACCGACGGTGGTCGTTTTAAGGTCTCAAAATGTGTTACAATGCGCAGCCGTCCACCTTGCGCATAAGCACTTGTTCGAATTTCTAACCGCGCCGCTGTTCTCACACGATCGCGTACCAGTTGCGACTGAATGGGACGCCGGCAGGAGCAGAGAGTTTTAGAGACTTCAAAGCTCTGCAGAAATAAGCTCATCGTTGTCGGCAGAGCTGATCTCTCGCATCAACAGCAGCTATTCGGTTTACCGGTAAATGCATCGTGCTCTCGGTATGCGATGACGCGACGGAGAGAGAGAGAGAGAGATGTGTGTGTTTATTATTGGTTATAAACAAAAGCTTTCAGGTTGTCGAATATTTAGGACAAACATATCATATAATTTAGCGTTAGAGAAACTCAGTGTGTCCAATGGTTACCATAATTGTTGGATTGCCGATGTGGAAGCCCTAGAATATTTATTTTAGTTTTGTCATATTTAGTCATCGTTTTTTCGAGTTCCCAGTAGAAAATAGTAATTGGAATGTTGTATTGAAAGTGTTTTTATATCACTTCATACGTAAAGTTTACGATTTTCAGAGTTGGTTGGAATGTTATTAGACTTAAACGCTGTACAGACTGGAGAGTTATAACATGTTATAACGGTTGTCAAATAATTGCAACACAGAAACCACCATCAAGATAGCGCTATAACATGTTATAACTCCTCTGTAGTCTGAACGTACTATTAGCCAATGATTGTTTGAAGGAAATTGATGTTAAATAATTCATATTTGACGATTGACACTGTGAATCACAGCCCAAACATAAATGGAAAACTTTCTGTAGTCACCAAAACCATGATGGGCTTCTTTGGACTACATGGGCTACTTTGAACACTTTCGAACTTGTTGAATCATACGAAGTAGAATAAAGAATCTAGGGCTATGGAGTCCAGAGTCGATAAAAAGTACCGACTTTAATAAAAAAAATAGTTTTTAAACTAGATTGTCCCAAAATTTCGTCTGAGCGCCTCTTTTGGCTCATGATCCATTTTATTGAATTTAAATGCTTATCATAAAAACTAACATGAAACGTCTAGATCCAGATTTATGGTTGATTTAGATCTAACATTTCTTATTTTTAGTAAAATTCCCTAATATGTCTCAATATTTTGATTGCTATTTTAATTGAGACTGAAAAATGTTTTTTCTTGAGCATGAATAACATCAAAACAATTAAAAATTTGACCATTGAAATTATTGAAAAAGATATCCCTTTTTACATATAAAAATTGCAGAAAGTTTATTTCAATTTTGTGAACAGTTTGAAAAACTTTAGTTTGATTAGGTTTTGAAAAAGTAAACAAATTGTTAACAGTTGATACCATTTGGTTTAACATTATGGCAAATTTAATTTAAGCAATGATTTTATATATAAATTGTGACAAGCTTATTCAAAATTGTGTTAATTTTCGGTAAAAAATTGTGACCTTTTTTATTAGAAGTAACACCAAAATTTGTTTAAATGTCTGCCCATTTTCATTTGTAAATGGGATAAAAATATTAAAAGTTGTGTTTTAGTCCGACAGAAGTATAGAACATTGTGATCAGTTTCATTCGAAGTTTGGGCTAGTTTATTTTGTAAAATTTATTATTATTACTTTAACAGCGGGTGAGTTTGGTAAAGGGGATGATCAACCCGATTCGTACCTTCCTCAAAATTGTCCTTTGATCACTTTCTACTCAAAAAACTATCGGAACTATCAACTCTATACTTTCTTATCATCTATCGTATAAAACGTTTACTTTAAGTCTGATATTTGACATTAAGCATCTCCAACTATTATTATTTTTGTTTCATAGAAATTAAGACCAATATAATTAAAAATTTGACATCTGAGTTTGATATCCTTTAAAAAAAATTTCATTAACAGTTGTGGCCAATTTTTTGATAAAACACATGATCAATTTATAAGGAGTGACAGGTGCTTGTAAAATATGTATCAATTATCATTGCAATAGTTTTTATGCGATTCCATTAGAACTCAGGCCTGTCATTTATTTATTCATTTGATGTAACCTAAACTAAACATGAAAAGCAGGGTTGCTTCCACTCACTTGCTATAAAAACATATTTTTCGGAATTATGCAATCATTAAATGATAAAATGATATGATGTACTTGTAAGTAACGAGAAGAGGGTTCAAAGAATGTGTTTGACTCATAAAACCTGTCAATTTTGCTTTCAGAGCGTCACAATAAGCGATCTTATGATTCGTGAGCGTTCACTCAGAGTGAGCACTCATGAGTCGTAAAATCGCTGATTGTGACGCACTGAAAGCAGTATTGACAGATTTTATGTGTCAAACACATACTTCACGTCCTCATCTTGTAACTTACAAGTTCTAATTATCACTAGACCATCTCATGATTTCATAATTCTGAAAAACATTTTTTTATAGCAAGTGAGTAGAAGTAACCCGGATGAAAAGTACTAAAACTAAACATCAATAAGCAGGGTTACTTCCACTCACCTCGCTATAAAAAAAAGTTTTCCGAAATTATGGAATTATTGGATGCTATCTAGGGGCATCCCACTTTAAACTTTATATTTCTATTGATATACCTATAGATACCTGGGAATATTTATAAGTACTTAAGAAATACTTAAGAAATATCTAGCGATGGTTTGTTTGCTCGGTTGCTATATATTTCATTCGTTTGTTTATCTGACGTTTGGATTCAAATCTTATCTGATTTTGTGTACATTTAACATATATTATGTTGTTACCGAACGGTAACAGTTTTTTGTTGCGTATAATTGTGAGGCGATAGGAAAAGAAACAGTGTTCAGTATGCTCAGAAATTTAACGGTCAATTTGTAGTCGATAGCCATCTATACGTTTTGTGACGGGTGGCAATTGGACTGAATGAAGAGGACCACGATAGAACAGCGGATAGAGCAAAAAGCCTAACGAAAGGGTGGTGGATGAGCTATGATGAAGAGGAGAGAAGGTCAGTGAGTCTGGAGCTGTGGAACAGAGTGGATCTGGTGAAATTTGGATGGGGTTCAGAGACGTGAGGCACGTTGTAGGAGTACACTTTTGGAAGGTAGTGTGTGAAGAGCCTATAAGGCGGTGATACTGTGCATTTCGGAGATCGAGATTGCAACCTCTGGGACAGCTAACGTCCGTGGTCTCCCAGGATCTGGGATCAGTTCACACTACAGCTGCCGATAGCCACAAGGATCGGCAGCTTGACATAGACAGCGGCCGGTTTCTCTATTGCAGCAGCGTAAGTGTTTCACCTCCCGCCCGCCATTGAATCATTAAAATCATTCAATTAAAGCCTAAATTAACCCTTTTTGTAAAGCTTCTCATAATTCCGAAAACTCTCCCTACCTCGCCAGCGCCTGGAGACCCGGGATGAAAACAGGCCTTTGGTGCTCACCCCAACAACTGCCGACTGGCTTAGATCAGCAGTCAGGGATGCAGACACGTCCCCTTCAGAGACGGCGCAGAAGTCCCGCTGTCAAACAGTTGTGAGTTTCAATATTAATAGAATTAACTACACGCCACTGACCGTATCGTACGTGACTCGTTGATCCAGTCCTAGGAGGAAGCTATGCTGATGGCCTTTGGAACTTTTCGACTATTTCTCTTTTGAATGTTTCGTTCAAAATACAGATCTGGAAATGACTATCTTGTTATAAGTATAGTTTTACCGGAGGTTTTCACCCACTAGGATCTTGATCTTGTGATAATGACTACGGACATTCAAGCTGATGGGAGCTGGTATCGGAACTTGTGGCATCCGAAGAACCGGGTCTCATAGCTTCCGTTGCATTATGGGCCGCAGAAATGAACAACATTCCTATGGATTTTTCTTCAAATGATGCCCTTCTACTTGAAGCTCATAAAGTTCGCCAAGTTAGATAAGTTCAAATCGAAAAATCGGTTCAGAACAAACCGTTCCATTATTAAAATTGACTATCATAACATTCAATCCACCTGATATTTTTCTTACAGACGCTTACTTTGAACATTCCCATGTGGACATTATGGTCCTACAGGTTTCGTTTAAAGAAAATCTATTATTTCACCCTAAAAAACTAATAGTGTTGGAACCATTGCAAAAATTAGAGAAACTGTACTCCCCCTTCCGATTCTCCACTTTGTTCCACTACCTAATGCATTGCTTGTCACACATTTGTAACACCTCCCCCCACCCCCCAAAACGTGACGTACTTTATGGATGCTCCCGTAGGGGCTTGAACTAGCTTCTAGTGGATAGCTACAATGATTTTACGTCACAGATTATAAAAATATGTGGCGATATTGGGGGCATGCTCATTATATGGGTTAATGAACTGAACGATAACCTTAAAAAAATGCTCCATTTTCTAAGTTTCATTTTATTGTTTAAAAAACCATATTGTTATTTTCAAATTATTGTTATTTATAGATTCGGTGGTTCGGAAAACTATGATTAGTCTGTTAAATGTTTAGTAGTCTTGAGATTAAACAGTTTCATTGTGTTCAGCTTTTATGTCATAATACATACAGACAACAACAACATACATTCTTCCACAAATATAGAACACTTCCGTATGATGAACACGCTAGACTGACTGTACAGTAATTAAATGTTCTTTAATTGTAGGGGACTGTTCACATTTAAAGCTCTTTGGTTCCACAATCGTCTTCTAGGATTCTGATGTTAGAAAAAACGTTTTTGATCCGTAATCACCGTAACCACTGGCGGGGGGGACACCCCTCACCATCCCTCTCCAAAGGGGGAGTTTGGTAAAGAGAGATGAAAAAAGCTCGCTATTCTAATATCTATATGCAATGTTCACACTGCCGTACTCTAACGGAACTATCAACTCTATGCTTTCATCTACTCCATCTATCGTATAAAAATTACCACTACAGTCTGTTATTTGAAATTAGCATCTTCAACTATGTAAAACGCTGTAGGTTTCTTATGACTTGTTTACGTTTGGAACCAGTTATGCGAGGTAGGCGACGATTGTTCGTATTTGACAGCCACCTCTCCCCTTGCTTTGATGCCTTTCTTGTGTACTGGAAACATGTGCGCTAGCTTCCTACAGGATGGGAAAACGCCGAGGTCCACGGACCGTTGAAAAACGTGCAGCAGTGA